TTCATACTTGCCAAAGCTGGAAACTTTATAGACTTAGAGACCAAAAAGAGTTCAGATCTAAAGTTTCAACTTCAGATCTTAGCTCAAACACAAGAAAAACTTTCTAAAAACCATCCAAAAGAGATCTAGGAAGAGATGAGCCAAGGTAACAACTTAATACCTTCAAAAAGGGTGCCCAGTGAAGTAGATATCTGATTCCCCACGGGTTCATTACTTCTAACCACTTGTTTTCCCCTAGATTTTCTCACTAAAATCCTTCTTCACAGCTTAACACACCAAGAAAGTACACACATACACGAATTTAGAGTTTGGAATAACAAGAGGCTTTAGAGGGGAGTCTGGGGAGGCCAATGCCACTCGTCGAGTCCCTTTAGTCCTTCATCCGTACAGATGCTTTTTAAGCCATGCAAAGGCTCCATATTGCAGATCCAACTTCCCAAGGCATGGTTATCACGTAAAGTTGCAAACTTTACGTGCGTGCAAAGCTCTAAAGCCTTAAAATGAAAAAACGAAGCTTGCAAAGAAGTTTTGCACTTGAGGGGAGGTTCATAATTGCCAAAGCTGGCAACTTTATGGACTTAAAGACCAAAAAGAGTTCAGATCTGAGGTTGCAACTTCAAATCTTAACTCAAACACAAGAAAATCTTTCTAAAAACCATCCAAAAGAGATCTAGGAAGAGATGAGCCAAGGTAACAACTAAATACCTTCAAAAAGGTTGCCCACTGATGTAGATCTCTAATCCACCATGAGTTCCTTACTTCTAACCACTTGTTTTCCCCAAGCTTTTCTCACCAAAATCCTTATTCAAAGCTTAACACACCAAGAAAGCACACACATGCACGAATTTAGGGTTTGGAATGACAAGAGGCTGTAGAAAGGAGGTTGGGGAGGCCAAATGATCCTTTAAATAGGGTGCAAAACCCCAGAAATTAGGGTTTCATCCTCCATCTCCTACTCGTCGAGTCCCTACTTTGACTCGGCGAGTAGGTTACTTAAACAAGTGGACCAACCCGCTGCTACTCGACGAGTCGAGCAACCAACTCGTCGAGTAAACCTTGAAATCAAAACAATCTTATAACAAAAGAAATCAATACCTGAGAATCGGGGCGTTACACTTTTGCTAATTCTTAATATAATGTTGTCGTTCTAAGAAAACATGTATAAAACAAAGCACAATGTTTAATTTGGTATATGATCTAATAAAAACAACTAATTAACTAGGTGTTTTGTTTGTTTGATAAGATCTAAGCACTTTTTATAATTTATTTATTTTAATTTACATGTGGTGTGATATTGTTATTAAAAAAGAAAAGCAAACACGAATCAATAAATTTAACATTTTTTTGGTAAATAAGAAACATATAGAAAGGAAAATATCTAAAATTCAAATCAATGTTATTAAAGATTCTGATTTTGATATTAAAATCTTAAAATCGTAAGATTTGATAAGTAAAAATTGATCCTTATCACACTAGGACCATTTCTAAATCAAATATATGCATTGAGATCTAAGGATCTTGAGTTCCCGACTATGGTCGTAAGAGTTTAACCTGATCCAATTTCATTTCTTTTGTTCTTAATCTATAGTCATATCTTTGATCTTCTAAACTTTCGAATATTGTAATTTATACTCTAAAATCACATGCATAGCCTAAGCAAGTTTTTTATGCTCGACTGCTCGTTAAAATCAAGCCTCAATTTTTTATGAGGGTGTGGGTGAAAATTTAAGTGTTGTTTCCACACAACTTGAATAAGCAACAATGAAGACTTCAATTTCATTTTTCAAGCACTTCTTTTTCATAACAAACTTATCAAATTTTAGCTAGAACTCTAATTTAACAACACAAGTATCTCCAAAAGACACCAATATTTTACACCATTACATACCATAAAAATCAAGACAATAACAACTGTGTTTTGACCAAAGTTTGAAACTTCACTATTGTTACAAATACAAACTAATAAGCATCAACGAATTTGAAAATATTATATACTACAAGAATAAATCATATATAGTTATAAAATTTTGCTTCGAAATACATAATTACGTATATGCATTCATACGTATGGTCACAAATGTTTACATATAATCATTAGCCGGAAAGACATACAATAAAAGCTAAAGGAAATTAATAGATTATTACTTGTAACTATTTGTGGTTTTTGTTTGTTTTCATCTATGTAATTAAATTATATACGTTGGAGAGTGATTGCGTTAGTCGGTACAAAGAGGGCAATTTTGCTCATTTTTACTTTTTTATTTCAAAAAGTACTTGATGGTTTGGTTGTTCATTTCGTTCATTGGAAAATAAATATAAGACAAAACTGCAAGATTGGTCCTTATGATATTTAAAAAACTTTAGATATGGTCTAAAAAGTTTTCCACTTGCATAGAATGTCCAAAATCAAGGTTTTTCTGTGTTTTTTATCAAAAAAAAAAAAACTTGAAAAAGACGGTTATACCCTTTTACTTTCTTTTTTATATTTTTTCTACTTTTTCAAATACTATTTTAATAATTTAATTTAAAAATAAAAAGAAAAGATAATAATAATTATCCCCCAACCCCACACACTCTCTCTCTCTCTCTAGATAAGAGGGAACTGGTCCTAAATACTTCTTTCTTGTTGTGTTAATGCTTTGGTGAAGAAATCAATTCCACCATCATCATCGAACCCACAACCCAACTGATTACTCAAGAAAAAAAAACTTCCATCCTTCAATAATGTATGCATAATCTGACGCAAATTAGGCCAAGGTCAATTTGGTACAACCCATCTATGCATAGAGAAATCTAACGGTTCATATTGATTCTCGTTTTTCCTTTTTTGAAATCTTTGGCATGAATTGTGTTTTCAAACCCAATCATGAATTATGTAACATCCCGTTCCTGGTACGCATTTAATTTATTTAAGTATTTATTTTGTAAGAGCTACTCGACGAGTTGGTAGCCCTAACTCATCGAGCAGATGCTAGTTTGGACGTATAATTTAAGTGGTCTACTCGACGAGTCGAGAGCCTTGACTCGACGAGTAGGTCCATCAAGAGGAAACCCTAATATTTAGGGTTTGCAACATATTTAAGCATCATATCAGGCCTCCACCCTAGCGTCCATCACCTCTACATCCTACTCTCGAAACCCTAATCAGCCCTTATGTGTTCTTAAGATTTTCTTTCCATTTGTGTGGTTTGAAGCTAGGAGAAGGAAGGAAACCCTTGGTGATTCAAGAAAGGCAGTAGATCTAGAGCTTGTGTTGCATTTCAGACCCGTTGGAGGTATAAAGCTTTTACATTGGCTTCTTTTCACTTAGATCTTCTTCTAGGATTGCATGTTGTCACTTTTGGACCATTTCCAAGGTCATTTCCGAGATTTGAACTCTTGGTGAAGTAAGGACTCCAGATATGGGCACTTTTGAGCTCTAGAAGCTTAAAGTTTCCACCTTTATTCAGCCATGGCCCTACTCCATGATGTAGACCTCTATTTTTGCTTGATATTGGTGTTTTAGCCTCATAACACCATGCATGCACGTAAAGTTAGCAACTTTACGTGTAATGTTAGCCTAAGGAGTCCAGATTTGTGAGTTAGAAACGTTGAAACTAATTAAAGTTGAATTTATGGATTTGTCCTATGAGGGACTCGACGAATTGTTCATACAACTAGGCGAGCCGAGTCGTGGTTCCCCTAACCTTCTCTGATTCTGAGTGAACCCGTTGAGTTAGGAGGTGATTCAGCTAGATGGATGTGATTAAGACTAGGAAACTAAAGAACTCATCGAGTCTGTGAATGGACTTGACGAGTTGACTCGTTTTGTCCCGATTTTGTACAAGATGGAACTCGACGAGTCTGTGAAGGGACTTGACGAGTTGACTCGGTTATCACGAAACTGGATAGCATAGAATTCGACGATTTGGGTTGACTGGGAGTTAACCCTAGCTTTGAATTTGACTAGAGCGTTGACCTTGACCAAGGGTATATTGGTCATTTTATCCTGTGAAGGATTATCAGATCTTGACTAAGTATTAATGTGATTTTATAGCCAGGGAGTCTTTGGAGTAGCTACCATATATTCCTCACCGCGAGATTTTACAGACAACTTTGCAAGGTGAGTTTTCCTCCAGTAGGAACGGGTCGAAGGCCCCAATGTCGGCCCGTTTATGTATGTTAGTATATGTCGGACTTAGGCCCGATGTCGGGGTTAGCCCAATGCAGTTTATATGTACCGAACCTCGGTCCAATATCGGGGCAAGCCGAGGAATGTTGTATGCTTGATGTCTTCGTGATTCTTGCATGTATTATTTGTGTGTTCCGAACTTCGGTCCAATGTCCGGGCAAGCCCGATGAAGATATAACTTATATGTTATGTGTTCCGGACTTCGATCCGATGCCGGGGTAAGCCTGAGGAAGCTTTACATGTTACATGTTATATATTTATGTGTTACGTGTTGTTATTATGATATATGTATACCGGGCTTCGGTCCAATGTCGGGCGAGGCCTGGTGCAGTGGGCAAGGCCCAGTATGTGTTATTGTATGGTATGTGGTAGGATGGGGGAGCTCACTAAGCTTCGTGCTTATAATTTTTAGTTTGGTTTCAGGTACTTCAGTTAGGAAAGGGAAGGACTCGGGATGATCGCATGGCACACACCACAAATTGATATGAGATTTTGATACGTTGACATATATTATGATATTTTGAGATACATGGTTTATGATTTTATATTATGGTAATGATATTTATGGTTTTAATGATGATTTAAAAATGAAAATTTTGGACTGTATTTTTGGGATGTTTCAAATTATTTGATTGATTTGGAGCGAGGGAACCCTAATTTAGGCATTTCAGATTTTTAGTTCATCTACTTGTTTCATTTACTTTTACTAGGTTTGGTGGTAGGTGTCACTGGTGTGAGGCGAGGAAGAGGATGGTGTGAGGCGAGGAATAGGAAGGGTAGAGCAACGATATAAGAGGGATAAGGGCAAATCCATGACCAAAGGAGATGAATGAGCGATGAGAAACAAACTGGATTTGATATGTGTTTAATTTCTCTAATGATTCCATCGACAACAACCTTTGGAGCTGGTTTGCCTGAATCGAAGCTTCACTGGATGTGATCATCATCATGCCGCCACTTCTCGCCAAGGGCATCGACACTTAAATTCTTTCTCAAGACATACAAGGCATCAACACTTCGATTCTTCTTCAAACTCTTGGATTGAACCTACATTGTTACTTCTAGGTTTAATCTCTCATTCTTAGAAAAACTATAATCTAATCTCTATGGTAATTGTAATATGATTTTGGTGATTGAACGATTTCGTGTTCCAAAATTAATTTTGAAGAACAAACGATTTTGTGTTTATTTTCTGAGTTTTTTTTGGTATTCCACATTCCGTATTCATATAAGTGTGTTTCTTTTGTGTGTATTTGTTCTTGGTTCCATGGAGAGAGAGAGAGATAATTATTTTTTTCTCTTTAAATTAAAATGGTATTTGAAAAAGTAGAAAAAAAGAATATAAAAAAGAAAGTAAAAAAGTATAACCGTATTTTTAAGTTTTTTTTTTTGGATTAAATAAACAGAAAAACTTTAATTTTGGACATACTATGTAAATGAATTTTTTTTTTGGATCGTATCCAAAAAATTTTGAATACCATAAAGACAAATTTTACAGTTTTGTGTAAATATAATTATTATGATTTTTCTTTTTTATCATGAGAAAGAGACTCACGGTAATTCCCAATCATGTTTTTTATTTGTTTTCATCTCTACAATCAATATATGTTGGAAAGTGATTGATTTCGTCGATGCAAATATTGCAATTTTTCTGGTGTCGACTTTCTTATTTCAAAAAGTACTTGGTAATTATTCATTCCGTTAATTGGAAGAAAAAAATAATTATTATTATGGCTTTTTTTTACCATTGAGAAAATTGGCAAAGAAGTCGGGATTTTTTACTATGTTAAAGTCGTCGGAGACATTGGTAAAAGACACATTGTAAGCCCCAACTAAAAACATATATATTTTAATAGTGGATAACATATGACCATATTATATTATTATACTGACAAACATATATGTTGTAATAGTAAATAACATATTACCATGTTATATTTATTATTGATGCATTTTAAACACAATAAATGAATTGAATTATCAATAATATACAAAAGAAGCAACCAATTATAAAATAAAATATAGTTAATATACTTTATAAATCATGAACCCAAACCCAAACATTTATATTTCATTTGTCTTTTGCTTTTCCAACGAAAATGCAAATGTTAAATAATAGTAGAATTATATGACTAAAAATGTAATTTTCTATTTTAGTTCTATCCAATCCTTTGGGCTCGCACGTTAAATTAAAGTCCTTCGGATCAAAAGTGCACGCCACACCGCCTTTGATTCAGTCACATGGTACACGAGCATCTATACAACTATTTTGCTTTCTCTGCTTCCTTTTCTTCATATTTCTCTACCATTCATCGGATCTTCTCTACGATTTCCTCTGTTTTAAAGGTATAATTTCTAATATCTTCTTGCTTCTCTGTCAAACCATTGATCTGTTGCTGTTTTTTTGCATCAAAATTCGTCGAATTCGGTTCTTGCTGTAAGATCTAGGGCTTATTGTGATTTTTTTAGCGAGCTTTATGAACAAATACCGCCGTCAGCTAGTTCAATTTGCTTTTTTCTGGAAATCTATGCGCCTTAGGTTCAGAATCCGCTGGATGTTCTGAAATTTAAGTTGCCTTGGCTCTATAAAGCAATAAATTCTGGGAATTTGGTTATTCTGTTCTTGCAGATGGACCCAGAAAATCTACGAAATATGCCAGAATTCCCAAATTGATTATAGTTTCTAATTTTGGGCCAAAATTTTATTTAACTTACGATTTCATATCTATATCTCCAAACATCTTAGAAACTTTTCAGGGGCAAAGTTTACAAATTGATTATGGTGCTGTAGAAAACTTTTGAGGGCAAGAATTAGTCTTCTTTTTTCCTTGAGAATGTTTATTTTGGTCATTTTACTTGTTAAAAGCTTATATAGTCATGATTTATCCCATACACAAAAAAACTGAAAAACTATGGAACTTTTCTATGAGATTTTAGAAAAATCATCCAAATTCCCCGAGATTCATGAATTGTAAAAAAATGAGTATGAGATGAAGATGGGGACTTATAAATTTTGTTTTATTGCTCACTTACGTTGGTCAAAATCCTTAACAAATTCATTTTACAGACATGGGAGACAAATTTGGGTTAGAGGAAGAAGATAAAGCCATGATAGAGAACGTATTGGGTCGTGAAGCTTGCGATTACTTGTTATGGTCAGCTTCAAATAAGCTATCCGATGAATTCAGATCAAGAACAAGTGACTTAGGGGTTCAAGATGGGCTTCGAAAGATTCTCGAGGGGTCAGACTGGAATTATTCCATTTTCTGGCAAGTTTCCAATTCAAAATCAGGCAAATCCGCTTTAATCTGGGGCGATGGCCATTATAAAGATTCAACAGAAACCCAAGCTGGTGGTGGGCATGGAACCAATAGGAAAAAACGGGTTCTTCAGAAGCTCCATTCTTGTTTTAAGGGACACGAAAAAGGAAATCTTGTAGCAAAAATGGATTTAGTTTCTGATGTGGAAATGTTTTATTTAACCTCGATGTTTTATCTGTTCCCATTTGATAAACCTTCAAGCCCTTCTCAATCTTTCAACACGAGTCGATCCGTTTGGGTTTCTGATACAAGAAGCTGTGAAGAACATTACCAATCAAGATCCTTTTTAGCAAAATCAGCACGCTTTCAGACACTCGTATTTATCCCGCTTAAAAGAGGAGTCTTGGAGATGGGTTCTTTTAAGTCGATCCCAGAAGACCAAAGCTTCATAGCAATGGCTAAAACTTTGTTCAATGGATGCCACCCGAAAGGATTACCCAAAATCTTCGGTCAAGAATTAAGTCTCGGTGGTAATAGTAATGGTAATGGTAATGGTGGTCCGAAATCCGGTCCAATCAGCATCAACTTTTCCCCGAAAGTGGAAGAAGATGTGGATTTCGGAGGGGAATCATACGAAATACCTTCGAGAAACGGTTTCGGAGGGAATTCTTCCAACAATGATAATGAAGGGAAGATGTTTCCCAACCATGTGATGAATGGAGTATTGAATTCATCGCAATCAATCCAATCATCATCACCAAATCAAGACTCGTTAATGGACAGAAAGCCAAGAAAAAGAGGAAGAAAACCCGCAAACGGAAGAGAAGAACCGTTGAACCACGTGGAGGCGGAGAGACAGCGACGGGAGAAACTAAACCAACGGTTCTACGCGCTCCGAGCGGTGGTCCCCAACATTTCAAAAATGGACAAAGCGTCGCTGCTTGGTGATGCGATTTCATACATAACAGATCTTCAATCAAAGATAAGAATGATGGAAGCTGAAAAGGATGTGATGGGTGCACCCGAGGTTGATTTCATGGCTAGAAAAGATGATGCGGTTGTTAGGGTGAGCTGCCCGTTGGATGAGCACCCGGTTGCCCGGGTTATAAAAACATTTCGGGAACATCAGATGGTGATGCAGGACACAAATGTTTCAACCACAGAAGACGGGAAGGTCATGCATTCCTTCTCGTTTCAGGGTCTTGCTGGTGCTGCTGTTGCACAGCAGCTCAAAGAGAAGCTTGAATCCGTCTTTTCAGATTGATAAAACCTGTAAGACAAAATCTTGTATTTTTTTTAGCCTCAATGTTTTTGTTAGATTCATGAATTGTGGGGGGATGTATCGTGTATTGATAAAAGTATTTGCATATTGTGAATTTATGATGGATTGGATTGGATTGGTTGGTGGTAACAGAAAAGAAACAGAAGTGGAAAACCTACGAAGCAGCAGTTCAGGAATTGACTAATGGTATAAGTATTGGTGGTGTAGCCACTAGCAACAGTCTGTATCGATGTTCAAATGTGTAATGTGCAATTTTTCTTGCATTACATAAAAATCATCTCCAATATTGTCATTTGTCGATTTGGAAAATGAGTTTATATATTTATCTGTATCATTTCATTTTACTGTATCAAGTACTTCTCATTCAGTCGGTTTATTTTCAGTAAATTATATAAATAGTCTGTGGATTGGGGTCTTTATTTATTATTATTATTATTCAACTCGGATCTTCCGTATGGTTTAGTTTTGTTACGACCTTGGTTCAGACATAAAATGAATAATATAACTTTATTGATTTAAGTCCCTCGAGAATATTAAGTTTGGTTATTACTTTTTTTCAGTCTCATGAAAGGTCTTTATGGCTTTAAAACTTTTCATAAACAGTCTTTATGGCTATCACCGTGTATTTTAATCATTATATCAAAACATGTGCAAAACATGTGAGGGCAAAATCAACTTTTTCAAACTAAAACTATATGGATCATTTATAAAGCACAGATTTTCCAAAAACAATGCACAAATTTTCATAGCAAGGGAATGTGTTCCTAATACCTGCATTGGAAAGACAACTCTCAGAAGCCTTATGGAGGCAATTGGGATGAAATACCAATCTTGTTGTTGTGTATGTGAACTTTACAATCAACTAGATATGTTATATTGTGCTATTTAGCATCACCATAAATAAGATGGTCCAATGGATTAGGTTGATTGTTCCAATTAGACAACTTTATCTTCTAAAAGAGATATCACAAAAGTCCGAGAGAAAAAAAAAAGTTTAAACAAAGAAAGAGATGTATGATGAAGTAGGAAAACAAAATTCCAGGAACTAACTGACTTGGATTTCTATACACAGCTATTGGCATTAGATTGAGGTATCTCTCTCTTCCGAGCTCAGGCTATTCTCTTGTTGCCATCGGCCATAATTGGACATCGATATGTGAAGAGGATCACAAAAATCCAACACATGTTTTTTAGAATAAAAGTGGGACGAGTCCACATACACAAATGAGACCACCATCCCACACCATCTTCATGGAAAACTTTGTTTTCAGATCATTATCCAGTGTTGTCCTCCCTCATTGACGTTGAGGATTCAAGTCGCGTCGTGGACATAGATGAATTTAAAGAGTATAGTTTAGAAATAGGTTATATTTTCCATTTCAAAAAAAAAAAAATGAAGATGGAGATAGATGACGGAGGTCCGGAGGCCGGATCAAAGATGAGAGAAGTAGAGGAATATATGGGGAAAATATGGGGGTGACGGTGAAGGTGGTGTTTGGTGGTAATGAATGTGACTGTATCAACGTGTATCGATGCTGAATGATGTAGAAGGAGTGGTCGGATTGGAAGTTAGGGATAGTAGAGGGAATGTTTAGGGTTGGAGACTTTGGGGTGGGGGTGTTACTAGAACCACCCGTTAAGCGTTGAATGGATGACTTAATATTGATGCCCGTAGTTGCAGCTATCGGTGTTGAGTTGTAGTTTTCGATGCTAAAGGTACAAGAAAATGGAGGCAGGCGTTGGAACTACCAAGAGCGGAAAAGAGCGCAATGCTAAAATGGTTGATCCATTGGATTGTTAGCATTTTACGACTTGCTTTCAATTTTAAAAAAATGGTCCTTATAGTTTTCAAAAAATGATTTTGTCCTCACATGTTTTGATTTAACCGACTAAAATAAACGGTATTAATCAAAAGGACCGTCTATTAAAAGTTTTAAAAGCATAAGGATCTTACATGGGACCAAAAAAATTAAGGACTAAACTTGGTATTTTAGGAAACCACATAGGCCATTTATGAAAATTTGTCATCGTGTGTGTGTATATATATATATATATATATATATATATATATATATATATATATATATATATATATATATATATGGATTAATATAACTTTTATTGTAATAGTTTATTCTTGTTATTTATTCATATTTAAACAAAATGGTGACACCATCTCAACCCTTATATCCCTACACCTACCCTTACCCCTACTATTCCTTCTTCCCCTATTGTTCTTTCTGTAAAAAGTAAAACATTCTTTCTTTCCATCAAACCTTACCCCCACTATTCCTTCTTCCTTTATTTTTCTTTCTGTAAAAAGTAAAACATTCTTTCTTTTCATCAAGATTTTATCCTGTCTAATTCTCTAGTTGTTGGAGATGACAATTGTCTCTTTCTTCAACATGTATGTTGCTCACCTCACTATGGTTGATTCCAAATGAATTTTCCATGCTTTATAGTTAAATCTATGGATTTTAGTCTATCGTCCCTAACATGAAGTGACTGTCATGAAGACGAAATGAAAAACAAAGATCTTGATTTCAAGATATGGAATTCATAACTGATTAAAGTCAAGTTCTTTAGTTAAATCTTTGGATGCACGTAAGATCAATCACTAATGGATCTAATTTCTCCTTCATAGGTCATCATTTTGTGTACCTAGAAATTTGAGTTGGAATAAAGTTTTTTGGAATCGAACAAAAAATATAACGATTGATTAAGGGTGGTTTCGGGAGCAATGGGGGATGGGTGTAGTGTGAAGGGAGAGGATGAGGGTCACCACCAACTTTCTATCAAGGTTGTGATAGTCACATCGAAGAAAAAATATTAACTCCGAGGTGGGAAGGGAAGTGAGAAATCGAAAGTGTGGAGTAGGGTTGGGAGAGTGGGACCACTTGGTTTTAATAATGATGAGTAATAATATAAACTAATTAACCAAAGTTTAAAGATTAGATAAGGTTTTATTAATCTTTTTATGTATATTGAGAACCAACATCGAAATAAAATCAAACCATAGGGATGATTAAAGTTTAAAAAAATTAAAACTAAGCTGAATGGGGCCTTGTCGGATCAGTAACATCCGGTTTCGGGATGTTTCTTTATTTGGAATGTAGGGCTTTAATTGATCAAGAAAAGGCATCAGGATTTATGAGATGATGTTTTGGTCATGAAGGAATGGGGTTTGTGGGCTAACAGACTATAAGGATTAATTTTGGGTTGGAAGCATGTAACATCTCGAAAATCATAAGGTAAAAAATTCATTTTTAATATATATTCAAACATGCATTTATCTTTATTCAAACATTTAAAGTATCCCAGAGAAAAACAATTATCAGAGTAAAATCCCAAAATCACGAATTGTGGAAAAATCCGTGTGTAAGTGCTGCTATCAAGCCGGGCCCTTCCCTTTCGATCTGGAAGTACCTGAAACCATAAACCACAAACCGTAAGCACAAAGATTAGTGGGTTCCCCAAATACCACATACCAATATATCAAACGAGCGATAAATATCATACATATCCAATCAATAAAAATGTTATGTGCCAACCATAGTGTTGCCAGTATGCCAAGAGCCGCCTCGTGATCTACCTTGCTAGAGCGGAGACCAAATCCATGGGTCTTACAGACAAGTGCCAAGAGCCACCTCCTGGTCTTCCATGCGAGCATCACAAAGAAAACTAGCATACAATGTACAACTACTTAACCAATTATCTACTAGAGTTAAGACCCTGGTCTTGCATACAGATTCCCAGGAGTCGCCTCCTGATATTTCATACAAACTTCCAAGGGTTACCCTAGGGTCTTCCTACAATACATAAACCAAATAGGCCAACATTAGTGCCTTCGACCCATAGAACGTTGAGGAGATGCACCTCGATAGATGAACCCACGAATAGATCTCCAGCTGTTGATCTGCTAGAATCCCCGCGCTATCAAACAAATAACGCCCAATTAACAATTGGGTTTCAAACCAAATCCAATAACACATACATGGGGTAAAAACCATTTTACCCCTCACCCAGTTTGGTTCAAGACTAAGGCCCACACTCACAATCACAAATAGCCACAAACCAATAATCATTCAAAGCCCAATAATGGCCCAATTTTCTAAATTGGGCCCAAACCCTTACATGGGCCTTACTCTAATGTCCATTAACTTTTCCTAATCCAAAACACATATTCTCCGTTGGTTCAACAAAACCCTAAAAAATACAAGCCCAAATGATAGCCCAACCCGAAATGACACCACAAGGCCCAAAAAAGTCAATTAGGCCCAAATCCATCATGGATCGATCCCGAGAAGGCCCAATATCCAAAATGACCAAAAGATCTAATGGTCCACCCTAGCCCACTTCTGGTCAAAGGTCAAATACACAAAAGGTCAACAAAATGAGAAAGGTCAATCAGGTCGAGTATACCTTGCGTACTCAGCTGGTATCCCCAACATATACCCTTTGAGGCCAGTACATGCAACATACCAGATGGGTACGCCCAACATACTCCCCTAAACCTCAGTATCTTCCATTAAGCACTTAATTACTTAAGTGCTTGCTCCAAACTCTCAGATCTTATTCTCATAGATGTCTTATTACGTAAGCATACATGGCTTAATGGGACTCTAAAGCTCAAAAGAGCTTAATGGAAGGCCTTAACACAAGCATGAGTCCAAATAAATCATAAAGATCACATTTTACGCCTTTGGGACACCTAAAACGTCCAGATCCACAAGATCAAACCTATGAAACAAATATAGCTCACAAGAACCACCAAAAGAGGCTCAAATGACTAAGAACAACCCAAAAGAAGATCTAACCAAAAAGTGAGCCAGATAGAGACTTTATACCTTAAAGATCACGAAATGATGATGTAACTTCTCGATCTTTAAGCTCCTTTCAAAATAGTAAGTCTTCAACCTTATCCTTCTCTTGCACAAGCCACAACAAATGCTCTTCCAAGCTCCAATACTCACTTAGGCATTCTAGGGTTTCAAGGTAGATGAAAGGGGGTGGAGGCTGACTTAAAATACCCAAAGGGAGGCCATAATGTTTTTTATATAGGGTAAAATTAGGGTTTTTCTCTGAAAGGAGTACACCCCGTCTACCCCTTAGTATCCCAGACATACTCAAGGATCACCTGCGACCACTTTACGCACTACGCCCCACATACACATCTAGTATGCCCAACATACTAGATGACCTTCCAACAATTAGAACTTCACTCAGCCCTAGCTCATCCGTCCTAATTCTGTTTCCAACGAACTCTATATCCACAAAAAGGTGACGAGAACGCTACGTTTCTATCAACTCACCCTCTCCTTAAACTTCTCGAACAAAAACCAAAATTCATAAAGGACCAAGTTAACAAATTACTATTATAACCTTGGGCTCCGAAACACCATCAAACACTTGGATCACTTTAACCATAACAACCACATCC